ATTCTGGGAAGAAATGTGTGAGTTTAAAACACAGTTTCTTTCCTTGAATGTAAATTTAAAAAAAAATATATAGCCATTGGCAACATACATCCGCAGTACTCTTTATAGTGCAACATATGCACTGACAGCCTGAGACACTATCCTATTCCACTGTAACTGAATGATGATGGATTTACTGTTAAAGGTATTCAAGGCATTTCTCCTCCTCATAATGATGACATTCTCTGTGCATTACCTTGTATTCTACATGTGTCCCTTCAACATCAGCGCTTCGAAATACAGACCTGGTTCTAGAGAAAAATATTACTGTGTTTAGCAGTGCTTATTGTCTAATTGCATTAGCTTTAATCTGAGCAATTTGGCATGTACTGCAGGTCAAGAGATTGAATTTGAATGGGTATTCCAGTTGGCAAGATTTCAGATCCAGAGTAAGGCATTTCAAGCAGCAAAAAGGAGGCATAATATAAATATTGAATGTGTGTGCAGGGTATGAAGGGGCTGGAAAAGCTTTAAATAATCTTCATGAAACAGAGGGAGGCAGAATGTATTTTCAAGACCTCTTAGTGGGAGGCGGGTGGATATTCTTGTAATCAGAACTTGACTGCAGGGAGAACAAAGCATCCTAACTTGTTTTTAGTGGAATACTGGCCAATCCATTTAAAATTAGACATCTGCTTATTTAATCCTCACTGAGACATGGCCAGAATTTTCACAAAATTGTGATTTAAGTCCCAGGAATTGTTGGTTTAGGTGTTAAAGATTAATCACAGCATAAGGAGATTTGGTGATTATACTGCTGTCTCTCTCCCTCATGTAAAACTCATTATTTATGTCCAGAGTGTGTTACAGTAAGAAGTTACAAGATTTTTTTTAACTTGCTGTCAGGCAGAGTCTGGTCACAGAAGATAGTGGCCTAAATCCACAGAAACTCAACACAAGCCAAGGAAGGTATTCCTCATTTAATCCAGCTGTTACAGAGCTCAGAATCTAGCCCTATGAATGTACATAATAATGTAACACGCCTTCGGTGGGTATTTTTGCCCAAAGTGAGAAATCAAAAACATGCAGAAATAACCGAACTTGAAAAAAATACACAGACACAGCCCCAGACACTTTGTACAAGTGGTTTTGTACGTTGATGATGAGTTGATGACAGAAAAAGAAAAGAAAAAAAACCCAAAAATCAGAACCAACACAAAACAAAACCCATAGACGGGATAACTAGAAGCCTCTCAAATGATTCGCTTTATAGCTTTTTTTCAGTTAATCAAATAGATATTTCACTCAAGTGATTTCAGAAAAAATTGTGCCCTCCATTACTATACAGAGAAGATACTTAAGAACTGGGCATATAATATGCTCAGATTTCTCAAAAGAAGATTAACTATTACCTGCCTGCTCCCTACTCCAAGGTATTCTGAATACAAGACTAAATTTTCTCATCTGTAAATATAAACCAGTCTTGCAATACTGTCATGAAAACTAAACAGGAACATCTACTCGCCCATCAATTACACAAGGGAGGTAAAAATGAGAGAAAAGAAACAAATTTTACTTGCCTAGGGTGGCAAACCCTGCCAAACAAAAGCCTTCTTATCTTAGGCACTTAAAAGCCCTTTAGTGTCTAAGCACCACATAATCACTAATGCCTATGCATTACCACCATTCATGAGAGGCAGGGAAGAACTATTTTGTCCCTTTTATTGATGGAGAACTGAGGCACTAATTGACTAAAGCCATGATTGACAAAGGGACTTGGATATGGTGATGTTGCCTATCATAATGCACAACTTTCAAATGCCCACTCCAGGAGCAGAATACACAGACTGCAGACCTGGGTTTGAGCTTTGGATGCTGGCCTCTGTGCTAGAGTCAATACTGTCAGGGCAGCTGAAGTGTGCTCTGAGCATGCCTACTGGATGGGTCCCTCAGGAGGCAAAGGCACAAGAGGCCCTAGCTTATGAATCCAAAACGGGTACAGGGAAGAAGCACACTGCTCAGTCCTACCATGGAGGCAGTTCCTCTGACTACATAGAGTAGCACAATGTTAGGTGCTTATGTATTTTATTAGTGAAAAGTAGGTGCCTACATCCCCTCAGGAAGCCAGTGGTTAGGCAGGGTTTTTGTGGATTGCTTTTCTTGTCTCTCACCAAATTTTTCCAAAATTGCGACTTAGGGGCCTAAGTGCCTTTTGGACTCTTGCCCTAAGAGACTAGCCAAAGCCACCCAAGAAGTTGTAACTAAAGCAGGGAGGTGAACTTTGGTCTTCCAAATCTGAGCCAATCAACCAGACACTGGACGGTCCTTCATGATATCATTATGCTCATTAAAAGAATACATCCACAGAGATATCTGCAGAAATAAACGTGCAAGGCAACTGCAGGATTTGTCTGTTTCTCTTGGGACCTATTTAGTAAGAACCAGTGTTTCAGTTTCTTTCTCTAGAGAATTCCTAGCTACAGTACTTTGAAATTGCCAAGGTTTCTTGTTCTCATGAGAACAGGACTAATCCAGCTTCCTAGATGTATTTAGACAGTGCAATACACAGGCAAGGAGAACAGAAGTTACTGTAGTAAATGAACCTCCTGAAAGAGGAGAGTCTAGTCAAGTCCAGTGAAGGGGGTTGTTTTTATGGAAATGCTCAACACAACTTCACCAGTTAAAAAAAAGAAAAAAAAAATCAAGCTCCATTAATTTCTGTTTAAAACTATAATAGGTCAGGGTGAGTAATTTATCCAAAGTAGTACCTAGTTAATAAAATATTGATATTTTGGAAAGAAAAAGAAGTGTAAACTGAAAGTTAATAAGGCAGTCTGCTTTAAATAAAACATAGCAGATTGAAAAATGCTAAAAACACGTCTCATCCCATAATGAGTATGGAATTCAAGAGGAAAAGCAATATAATGGTCAGGTACAAAGAGTGACCTTGGCTATGCCATTAATTACTTGTATTACCCATTTAAGACCCGGAATGCATTAAAATTAAACATAAGGAGAAAATGTTTCAGATTAAATTACATTTCCATATTACAGTATTCCCAGCTTTTAGGGAGGGCTAATAGTCCTCATCACTGCAGTACCCAAGGGCTTCATAAAGGATGTCTTTTTGGCTCAGGACAGTACCATGCTGAGGCACTCTTATGAATGGTAGCAAAGGAACTGGAAGTGGAATGGTTGCATTATTTCAGTGCTACATATATACCAAGGCTGGATACAGACATTACACTTTTACCAGTATAAGAGATCAGAAACTGGTCTGTACCTATAATAGAACAGAAGTTTGGCACACAAAATCAGTCTATATCCGTAACAGAACAGAAGGTCAGCACACAGACTGGTTTAAAAATGGAGGAACCCAGTCTAAGATTTGCCCTCCCCCATCAAAGGGTGAATGTGTGTTCTGTTCACTACTGATCTAAACTATGCTGCTTACAGAAACCCATGTAACTTAGATCAACTTCACCTCTGGCTTTTTGAATGTCTATACCTAGCCCAATACTTTCTGCCATTCATAATGACACTTATTCACTGCTTTTGGTTCAGGAGCCAGTCTGTGTGGAGCAGGAGCAGTATGTTTCAGTACTATTCTGCTTTGCACCATGGTGGTATATTCACCATCATTAATAGATTTATCTTCACAACTCCCTTGTGAGGTAAGGAAAGTGTCAGCCACTTTTTACCAGTGAGGAAATCCAATATAAATTAGCAGGAGACCTTGACTTCCTGGGAAGGTTGCCCTCCTATTAGTGAAGGTATAAATTCAAGTAGAAAACGACAACCTTTTTATGGGTACTTATTTCACAACAGGAGTGGCCTCCTTTGGTTCACCTCAAATAGACAGGGAACAAGTATACATTAAACTGAAAACTGCCTGCTACACTGAAATAGAGATGTTCACACAGGGGTTTGCACTGAATTAGACAGTTAAGTGAACCTGGTAAAAGTCCCCCATGTAGAGGAAGGCAAAATAACTTGCATAAAACCAAACAGGAAGTTTCTTACTGGGGCAAAAGCAGAATTCAGCTCTTCTAATTCCCAATCCAGTGCCCTACTCTTAGACTATTTTTTTCTACCCAATTCATGCTTGCAGGGGGACTGCTAGCTTTCCAATGATGCTCACCCCTCCCCTGTAGGAGACAATAGAATAGAGGGTGTTTTTACCTATGACCAGTTCAGGGAGATATGCTCTCTGCTCAGAGAGGCTTCTTTTTCCTGTATCCAATAC